CAACCCCTCCCCTCATTCTTCCTCCTTCCACCCCCGTCACGTTCTCTTCTCCCTAAGCAGGTGTCGGCTTCACTCTTTCAGCTGCTCACCTTGCTGTCCGTTCGTTCGCTGTAACCAACCTGGTCGATTTTCATCACCCCAGTTGAAGCCAACCTCCCCCCCACTCGCCTTGACTACCTGATCCTACCGACCCTGATACATTCTCTCCTTTTGTCCAACGATTCCGTCTCCAACCGGTCCTTCGAAACGAAAAAAAAAAACAAAGAAAGCAGATCTTACTATCTGATTCTATCGCCGCGAGACCCTTGTTGAGACATATTGTAAGTGACTGTCGACGACAGGCTTGCTGTACTGTGCCATATCCAGAATTGACACGGATACCGGAGGAAACAGTACACCTTCAATTCTTGAAATAACTTCGCGTGTATCGAAAAGCACGCCGTTACTTTCCAAATACTTTGCTGCTTCGGATTGCATCCGAAGACCATTCGAACATAAAAAAAAAAAAAATCCAACTATCAAAATCATGTTCAATCCTATTTCTAAGCTTGTTCGGCGCGGCGACTCTGGAAGCAACGATGGACTCTCCCCCACCATGGTCGATCTCTTGATCTCCCTGCTGGTTCTCATTTTGCTCGGTCTCGCCCTGGTCGGTGCACTTCTTGTCTTGCGCCGCAAGCGACTGAATCGCGAACAATCCGAACTTCCTGTACACAACGGGCAATGCGTGCCAAACCACCGTCGTTTCACCGTCTCTGCTTCGCCGAACGCCAAGACAGAGTCCGTTCTGGTTTATGATGAAAAGCGCAGTCTTATCGAGAACTCGTCGAGTCCCCCGCCCAGCCCGGTTCCCGAAATTCGCATTACGTTTCCAGAGGAGGAGGACGAATCCGGAAAGCGCAAGTCGGGCCGAGTTGTGGTTGTGAGAATTACCGACGCAGGTGGAGTGGGCTTGGAGCCTTGCAATGAGGAACTTCCGCCGTATCAGTCCAGTGATGCGGAGCGATTCCAGTCGTTGGATATCGAGCGCATGGGTGGACTCAAAGAAAAGGAATCCACCAATAGATGGTCTTAGAAGAATCGACCTGCTCAACGACCGCGGTCATCGGCTCATTCTTCCCATCGACTGATACCCCTTCGAATGACCGATGTCGCCTTTTTGTCGCACCTGGACGAGATTCGAAAAGCATGACGATATCCCGGCGAAGATTTGCCTCGTTTCCATCTCCGTATTTAGACCGCTCTGCTTCATATTACCTTCGCGACTTGCACATACGCAAATACTCCGTCCTGTTTAGCCACCACGCTCGCCGTTTGACCCTGGGTTTCAGTATCGACTAACCTCAAGCGCGTCAAGTTATCAACTGACCGATCAGCGCATACTGGCCCGACCTCTGTACAGCAAGGCTTGCTGGTTTTCCTTGATATTTTGTGCTTTATTCTCCTTGATAAGGCGTTCATTTCTTGTGCTTGGCCACTTTGGTTCTCTTCACCCTGCCACGTCACTAGGGTTGAAGAGACGTTACGCATTGGTTTGGTTGAAGTTTTCATTCTCCTTTGCATTCTTACTTGCTTCTATCTTACCCTTCTCTTCTCCCACGCTCGCCCTCTACAAGTCTCGGGTTTGCGTTCAGGGGTGTCTTACAGCTGGATAATGTATGTACCTAGTCTGCCTTTGCATTGGATGGCCGCCTCGCGAGGTGTGCGCCCCAATGAATGCGTTTATTTGATAAATACATGAACTCTTGATCAGCGCCTTGACGAATTCCCAATTTATTGGACCGGTGTATACCCGTCCACATGACATAGTCTTTGACATCAATGTGATATATGGTTTCAGCCGTGCTTACAAGATACACGATGAAGGCAAATTAGCATCTTCACTCAATGCAAAATGGCTTAAAAGCCATATGCCTCAATAATGGGTCTTGGAAAAACAAGGAGAAAATCCCCTTTGTCTTCCCGCCGACACTACTTGCCCTTAAGAGTGGCAAACAAAGACTGAAAGGGTCTTTTGAAACATTCCACCAAATAAACAGGGTTAGCTAGCTGTGGGACTGGAATCAGGACTGGAATTGGAGCAGAAAGTCACTTTATATGAGGTACTAGATCGGCTTATTCCTTTTTTCAAGTGGACTTAGGTCATCGAATATACTCAGTGAATTGATGCTAAGCTTGTCCTGTTCCTTCAGCGGATAACGAAAGACGATTTTCATAAAGGTAATAATGTAGTGGATTTCTCGGAAGATGATATAATAAGATTGGACCCGAGTCAGTGATTATACAGCTGGATAGATTTATGACTTGCAGGTAGTACAAAGTGATTGCGTCGGAAGGGTATTGTGGAATGGATGTTGTTTATTACCATGAGGTACTTACTGGATTGGGTTAGCACGTGGATTCTATGTTTGGTATAACAGCTTATCTAAGATGGTTCAATGATTCTAATGGTAGTGGGACCCACAACTCATACTGTAGACTACTTGACTTGATCCAAGCTGATCATAGTCAAAAGACCATTAATTATTCATGGGAACATTATTGATTAATGCCAGCTAACTAAGGTAAGGAGCTTACCGACTATCGCAGATTCGACCTCATTCACATTTCGAAGCCTCCGACACTCACTATAGTCGAGCAGAGGAGAGCGCAGACAATGTCTATTACAGGGAATGAACCATCTGGGTAAAGTACAGACCAGGCGGAATCTACCAGATGAAGTGTCGTCCAATGGAAGTGCGTGTTTGTTCTTCCTTTGTCTCTTGTTCTTGTAGGTTCAAATGCCACCGCATGATTTGCTTTCAATGATGGTAATGTGTTATGCTATCCTCGATAGCGGCAGTTGTCAGAAGATGGCTTGACGATGAAATGGGTAGAAGGGTACTACCCTTGGTGTGGTGGAAGTAACAAGATACTGATGACTCTATGATTTCAGTTACCTCGGGTTCGACCACCGCACAGCAAGATAGGGGATGGAGAGTCTGCTAGAAGATAGGACGAGTCTGAGACACAATTGTGATTGAAAGAAATCTCTTGGGACATTGGCATACTGATATGGGAAACTCAGAGACACTCGCAATGCCGGTTGTCTGGACTCTACGGGTTCCACCACCATACAGCAAATCAGAAGATGGAGGGTTTGCTGAAGGCTGATTGGAGTTTGAGACACCATGCTTTGACTGAAAGAATAGAGAGGAAAGTGTTTCAGTGAGATTCGGACTTACGAGATACACGAGGTACGACAAGAAAGACACTGTACACAATGCAATGTGGAGATAAGTGCCTCAACGGCTGTGTCCGGCTTGTTGATTCGAAAGAGTTATTGTCTTCAAGACACCAGCAGGTCACAAGATTGTTACCCAGAGGTCTCGATCAGCTATACTTAGCGATTAGATGGATGAGACCGAGAACAATATCCTTCATGGTTAACAGACACAGAACTGATGCTTCAACCTCAACTTATAAAGATGCCCATTACATCCATGGTCTGAGTGAGGAAACCGCTCAACTCAACTCATCTCATCACATTTCGTCTTATCTCGATCTCATCTCAGACTCCCGTGCACCATGACTACTCCTGCTCTTGCTCCTGCTCCAGCCCCAGCTCCAGCTTCTACTCCAGATCGCGTTCCAGCCCCAGCTCCTATGTTTGTTCCCTTTAGGTCGGGCTTGGGTATAGCTCTAGACGCAGCTCGAGCTCTGGTCCCTGTCCCAGCTTCGCCTCCAGATTTATGTTTCAGTTTCCTTAACCCTGTCAGATTTCCGAAACTACCAAGTATGAAGTTGAGGCGCTATGTAGCCTGGCTACTAAGGGAGGCCGAGGTACCAGCCTTTCCATGGGGCCCCGAGATAACGCGGATATACGGAAGTGAGAACAAATTCCAAGTAAGTATTTCGAAACATTTCCTATCCCTTCACATTGTATCACCATTGTCAGCTGCTAATATAATAACCTGCACAGTACCACCTCTGGGCAGTAAAGGATGAGGAAATGGAGAAGGCCGTGCAAGTGCTCGACAAGGCTGGATTGCCACCCTGCAAACATGGCCGTCGTTGCAAGGTCTTTGACCCTCAGTACACTGAACTTCCATTTCCCGACCATCATTACCACACAGACCACAATTATCAAGTAAACGGTGTCACTAAAGGTGTCTATCTGTACCGGAAGTCCCGACTTTTCCCATCTCTCCCTGATCCGCCGCTTGACGATCCGGAGCCTAAGGACCGATGCTATATGCTCAGTTCTGACAGCCGGTTTCCGGACTGGAACATTGACCCTGCTGAGCGCTTGTCTGAGCAAAAGTACCCTGTTACTATTCCTACGCCTGCCAGATATTTGGAAGCCATCTGTCTGCTGGCTGTCCGTTATAGGGAAGGGCAGCATTCGAGTGCATTTTGGGACGAGGAAGAAGACCGGATGATGGATCTCCTGGGCGATAGGTTTGTCGATGTACTACAATTGAGTGACCTTGACGAGCCATGGCATGAATATTGCAGGCGAAATGTTGACCGCATTTATAGCGACCGTGTGGATGACTGGTGTGGTCGTAAATACCAGGCCCTGATCTATGCTGATCTGAAGAAAAAGGGCCAGCTTCAATCACCTGAGACAAAGGAAATCTTACGTACTAGATGGTTGAGCGGATTCTTCTCGGAACTTGCAAAGGCTCAGGGTCTGTCCCCAGATGCACTATTGAAGTGATAATTAGCTCGCTTCATGCGCCTCGTCGCTCTATTCATGTCTTCACTCACACACTTTCCCTCACAGACACAGACACACACACACACACACACACACACACACACACACACACACACACACACACACACACACTCTCTCTCTCTCTCTCTCTCTCTCTCTCTCCCTCTCTCCCTCTTGCTATCTTTTTTTACATATATCCTTACACTCATTGATAGTCTGTATGCTGCTCCTAAGTGTTACAAGTACTAATAATACCCTTTGACTTTGGAAGTATGACAACCATGTGCATAGTATACACGAAAGTATGTTTCCAGTAACAGCAAAACAAACAGGTGCATAGAGACAAAAGAACCGAAATCTAAGCAACAAGACAAGCAAATTGTAGACACAAACAGGGCAAATGTAAGATTAGTGTAACCAATAAGCAGAGACAGACTGAACGGTAGAAAGAGACGGGGAAATTTTATAAAGCAGCAAACAGTGAAGGAGACAGACAAAACAACAAAGAACCAAAGCGAGCGACTGAAAACCCTGCATGATTGTGCTTTATCCAAGAGCGACCTCCCAATCGAAGTTCGAATTCTTCTAAAATTTAGCAATATATTCTTCCGATTCAATCAGATGCTTCCACTGGTCAGGCGATAGACGCTGCGAAAATGTGTAATTGCAATCGAGATTTATAAGCTTGATCACATCGGAGGCATCTTTCTCATTTTGCTCCTTGGATCTCATGCCGCACGTGTAGGCTTTACAGACCATGAGGTCTAGTTTATCGATGAGCGGAAGCCTGGTGTAACGAAATTGCGGCAGGGGCTGGAGGCCTGCGGGGACATACGGCAACTATATCGGTGTGAGAGAAGCGAATAAATACATCAGTACCCTGTCTTGTCACATCGTAGAGATCCGCTTAAGGATCGAAAGGGAAGGACTTCTAGCCTGAGAAATCGCTTACCTCGTCTGTCGGAATTATGCTTATACGGGGACGGCCGAGAGCCATATTCCAGTATAGCACACTTGTCGGTCGCTCGAACCCGTTGATTTGGGTCAATTTTGCTTTGATCTCGCGGGCCAACTTTGGGGGATAAATTGCGATTTCCAAATTCTGCGATACTTTGTCAGCATATATCCTGTAACTATAGCCCTTACTAGTGTTCTGTTTGCCTCTGTTTCTTCTTCGCGGATGTAGCAGTGGACTGCTAGGTCTCCTACGATGAGACATTGCAATTGATCGAAGTCATCAATTGCTTGCAATAGCGGATCAGTTACAAGTAGTGTAATGAATTGCATGAACGTAGTGATGATAATGTCATTATGAGGCAAGGTGGGCTGGAATATTGAAACGATCGAGGATGATGCCTTGTAAAGGAAATGAAAAATAAGAAGCATGACCATAAGGATGAAGTCAAAAAAAGGAGGCATTGCGGACAATTGGGAACTTTCTAAACAGTTGAGTATGAATCTTTGTGAAAGGACTGTGCGTATGAACAAGGGGGTAGGCGATATGATACTTAAAGAGAACAGGTTTTGGAAGGGCAGTTAGGCTAGGTTTTATATTAAAGAAGTAGCCTTTGGCGTTAACCCATCGTTGAGGAAGGGAAACAATGTATATGTGGTCGTCTATTTCCATGCTTGAGTGACATGATTGCCATCAACATGTGTCCCGATTGTGGCCTATTGCAGAAGCACTGAACCCAAGCCAAAATTTAGCCTCAAAGCCAGACTATAACGAACCTTTCCAAAAAAGAAGTGCGCCCGGACACTTTCCTGTAGCTTTCGTCATAGGAGGACTCAATGCGAAGTAAGCCCATCGGTGGGCCATCTCATATGTGGAGTATTGATCGTTCTTTTTTGAAGGGCTGAGTATATGGGCGACGATCTGGGCCCGATGAAAACAGGCCATTGAAGGCCAGTGGCATGAGACTGTCCAAAGTTCCCGGACCCGTGGAGAAGCTCAGGTCTGAAACATGAAGGACTTCAAAACTCAGATCCGTTGCAGGCCATGAAGAGAACTTCTCGGGGCGCTTTCGGGACGGTGGAGAGACGATGGCAGACACCGACGAGACTCTATTCAACGGCGGTAATGCTTCCTGACAGTGTATAGGCGGCAAAATAATGGAGGGTCGCCCTGAAAGGAAAGAAACACGGGGTAGAGTATACCCTTCTATATGAGGAGGTAGCGAAAGTAATCTTGCCGATCGGAGGAGCGCCGTCCGTCGCATAGCATTGTTGATGTTGGGAGTCTCAATGAACAACCGTTTGGTTGGACATGTGATGCCGGAGAGCGCGTGGTGATCTGCCCCGTATTTCCAAGACAATGTCTATTCATCAGATCGCTCTCCCCTTTTACTCAATAAACGGGGGGTCTAAGTCTGGCAGCATGGATGCCCCAATATCACGAATGACGGTATTAAAGTTCAAGTATAACCGATGATGGGTGCCATTGCCATTTCAGACATCACGACCCTCAAAGTAAAAGGGGATGAGAGAATGACCTGCGCTTGAGAGATAGCGTCTCAGAGGAGTTCCGCATCTTCTGAAACATGAGTTGCAGTTCGTGTTGGCAGATACCGTCCATGATCGATTGATAGTGAGATACCAACCTAGACAGACTTCCGGGTCCGGCCAGCATGGGCGTCCAGCCAGCCGATGGGTCTGATCGTCAAACTGAGCGGAGAGGAGAGAGCGTCTATGAGGGTGTGACTGGCGAGCAACAGCGAACTGATCTGGAACGTCCCTTCTGTCTCACTCATGAGATACTTCGGAAGTGAGTGGTGTTGAACGAAAGCTTAATGTAGACGTGTGAAGCAACTACTATGAGCAACGTGCTTTTTGAGAGGTGGAGATGTGCATGCCAGCTTTGTAGGAAAAGCTGCAAGGATCACCTGACCGCGCTTGTCCAAAGTCCACCAAAATCAAGAGTATCACAAAAATATCATCCGCTCAGGCTTTGCGTGGGCTTTACACAGGAGACCGTGTGGATAAGCTGAGACCTGTCAGAGCCACCGACCTTGCCCCTTCCATCACTACTTACGCCTAGATAGCGCTTACTAGAATGCATTCCGCATCTCTTCACTCCGACCCACGGCTTCTCTTTCCCGAGACAACTACCTCTTTGTCTCGTTTGGCTGACGCCACTGGCCTCCCACAAGAAATTCCATAAGCGGGCGTTTCCTAAATGCTCCCCCTTTTCCTTTTCAGCGATGTTCTTTTCTGGTACTGACAAAATGCTGTCTCTCAGGTCACTTGATCACAAAACACCGATCTACCAGAGCACGGTATATCATCTATATACACAGAGCGTAATGAAGGAATGTTTGACAGATTCGGCGGCGATTTCAAGTCTCCTCACAGTAAGGACCACAGCGGTCAGCGCGAGATACCTCCCAGGAGCATCTTACGAAGGGGGTCGCCTGTACGCCTAAAGCCCTCATCTAGACACCGACGCCTCACAAGGAACCAAACCTCAAACAGAAAGGGGGAACTTTTGGTAACATTCGTCTCATACGGCTGGGGACTTTCCGTTACTGGGTAACCATGCATGCAAGTTTTCTTGGAAACGCTGGTAGTGTGAGCTACACGGATGGTATGAGCGATAGCCGGCAGCGCCTCATAGTGTGTGCTCTGTAGGTTCTAGAAGGTTGAGAGCGATCATGCGCCCGCCATATTATCCTAAGCCCAGACACATGCATTAAACTTTCTATTCCGGCATTTGGGCAACTTTTTCTTCAGACAGTGAGACTGATTGAGGATACTCTAGCCCTTCTGGGTTCCTTAGGACACTGATACTCTCTACCACAAGCATTTGATGCATCTTCTCTTTCACAACCCAGTGATTGTTCTTTGTCGGACTGTAGTCAGGCATCAACAGACCCTCCACCATCTCTGCTGCCTACGGGGTCTCTCCTCTTCTTCCTCCTTGAGGATTTATATAGATCCCAAGAAAAGTTCACATGTTACACTTTACTTCTGTAATATCTTGTAACTCTTCTCTGTATGCTAAGTATAGTAATTTACATATACGATACTTCACACACTCCTATACAACGAACCACGCCCCACTGGTAGTCAGTACCTAGCAGTAAAAGTTAATATTCAAGTACTAGCCCCGTCAGACCCATGCCGCGGACATTTAGTATCCATGAATTGTCAATATAGGTACTATGGAGCAGACCCCGCGAAGCAGTAATACACCACAGACTCCCACTCATTGCCCCTAACCCATACTGAAACCATACACATATTCTCCTAACTCAGCCTATCAGACCGGATTTTGCGACTAGCAGATCATTCACTGTCTGATCTTTTACTCAGGCTGAAATAGAACATGACTCAACTACCGTAGCTATAACCAGTGATTCCATTGATCGATTGAGTTCGCGGGTAATAATTGAACCAAGCAGTATTCATATGAGACGCTTGATATGCCACGCATCTGTTGTAGGTATAAGCGAACCAACTACGTATAAGGCGGGTGCGGGAAGTGGGGAACCACAATCTATCGATCTAGCTACTACTAGTGCCACAGTAGAAGTATAGGTGTGTTTCCTTGCTAAGTCTCCCAGGGTCTAAGAATGGGAAGGGGTTTGAATTGATCGGCTGTTTCAGTTGTTTCTGGAAGATGTCTACGTTAGTATTCTACGTTGAGAACCATAATCCGATACATCTGTTGACATAACTGATTATTTATTTCATTCCTCAAGGTTTGCCAGAGTGGGCCAGGGCAGTAAAGCATCGCAATGGAAAAGAAAGAGGGAAAAAACAAGACATTGAGAACAGTGAACTTTTTTTCTTCGCGTGCTGCAGGGCAAAAGGGGGTATTTACACAAGTTGCAAAGCATCGGTGTTAAGATGTACAGTCATCCGTCGTAGCAAAAGGGTCATGAGTGAGTCAATGAAATCCTGGAAAGTGATTGTTGTTTCTTTTCTTTTCTTTTCCTTCTCTGGCCCTCGTTCTTCCATTCTTCTTTGCCTGCTAAACCAAGACAGCATGTGGCTTTCAACGACCCCAGCGCGAAAAGTCCAAGTTCTGCAGGATATTCGTGTCTGCAGCTGCGTTCCAATCGGTAGCAAAATCGGTCCGGACCGAGGTGTTGCGCGAGGGCACTTCTTCGGAGAATATGTTGGCTTTGGTGTTGCGGCGCTGACCAGGATAAGTCCCTTCGGCAGCCTCGGAACTTTGAGCCTGGTTTCCTAGCGCTCGCTCACGAAGTCTCTTAATTTCACGCAACCTGTTGCGCCACGATGAAATGTGCTCCCCTCCTTGGCTGTGCCAGACGAGCGAGAAGACAGACGCGTTAAGAGCAAGAATGCGAACGAACGGGGCAAGGTTCTTCCCGGAGATAAGTTTTGGCACCGCGGCAGGTGATATTTCCGGAAACCCGGGCTTGCTCATCACCTTCACCTGGTAGAACATGTTCTCAAAATCCGTGCGTCTCGACTCCGCACTGCCAGGATCAGTGGTGAGACGGCACACAGGGTTAATAACGATGTTGACAAAGTTGAACTGAGAGGGTATCGTGTTGAAGTTGAAAGGTGTATTCGACCGGTTGAACACGATATTGACGAAATCATTCCCGATGTGGCGTTTCTTGCTGATGCAGGATGGATCATTATCAAAGTTCGTAGGCATCATTGTCGGAACATGGTAGACAATTTCCGTAACCCGGTCACGCCATGCATAGGTGAATTGGCCATCGAAATCTGCATGCAACCCCTGAGTATTAAATCGAGCACCCTGGAGCGGAACCTTGGTTCCGAGTCGCGACAGAAAGTATTCGTAGTCTGGGCTGCCGCTGGTATTCGACAGGATCTCTGCTTCAGTGGTCTGGCCATTGTCGATGTATATAACACCAATCTTGTGCCCATCCACAATGTCGTTGCGGTCGAAGGTGTTTAGTGCTCGGCGTGTAATGTCATCTTCGGGAAGAGGAATTGGCTGCATCACCGTAGGAGTCGGGAAAGCCGTGGTTGTCAGCTGAAGCATGATATGGCTTGGAAGGACAGCAGTGCGCATGGTGTCAGAATGCAAGTGGGCATCTGGCGTGGGCGGAACCTGGTGAGGAAGGACGGGCGCAGTTCGTTGCTGAAACATTGCGTAGGTAGTTCCTGACGCTTGCCTTTTGGTGACCTGAGTCAAGCCAGATACTCCAGCCGTCTCAACAGTCACAATGCTCATACCTACAATCCATGACTTCTTCACTACAGGCCCATCTTCCGGAGTCGGAGGAAAGTTTGGGTATGGTATAGTGTCTCCCAAGTCCGAGAAAGCTGCTCTCTGCATCAAGTCGATGAAGACCTGGCTTGGCTCCTCAACCGTCTCTCTACCGTGTTCATCCCGGTATATGAGTCTGCTAGTTATCCAATTCACGTGCTTGGCTCGATCCTGCAATTTCAATGAAAGAAACCAAAAGATCATGACA